TGTGTCCAGGAGAAAATGAATATACTTACCAGTAATGTTAATGCGCACCCACAGCTCTTCTGGGAGGGTCTAAATCGTTGAAGCATCCTCCTTTGTTTCCAGCTGGGAGCTGGAGCCTGTCAGTCCTGTCTGCCACGAGGACCTGATGTGGGCCACCTTGGCCAGGTGTCCTTCAGAGCCACACTTAAAGGGAGCTTCCTCTCTACTCCCTTGCCTATCTGTGACTCTTGTCTGTGACACTGTCTACTGAAGTGGCCCAGCTTTCCACAGTGGAAGCAGCTGATATTTTAAAGGAGAAAGGTGTTTACACTTGAAATTATAAAACTGTTTTATAAAGATTCCAGCTCTAAAATATGCATCATTAATTTAAGAATAAACTCACTGTCATTAATTCTGAATCTTGGTTATCCTCCATCAGGTTACCAAAACTGTAAATCTTCATGGGAGAATACTTAACCCATCTTTCTCCTGAAGCAGCTGATGGATTCAGACCTCAGCTCTTTAGTGGTTAGTAGCCCAATTCATAACCCACTGTGCCACCAGGGCTCCTTAGGAACTTGAAATAACAACTAATTATTGTTGTTTGTGTTAGTTCTACTCATGGCTACCCCATGTGTCTCAGCATAAAATTGTGCTCTGTAGGGTTTTTCAATGGCCAACATTCAGGAAATATACTCCCAGGTCCTTCTCCTGACATGCCTTTGAGTGACACCTTTTAATAGGCAGCTGAGTCCTTTAACCACTGCCCCACTCAGGGACTCCCACTAATTAATAAATACAACCTAATAAAGAATTTGAAGGAGCCCTGGTGGTGCATAGCGGGTTATGAGTTGGGCTACCATCCAAAGAGTTGAGGTGCATTACATGTTAGACTTCAGAATGAAAAGTCAGCAGTTCAAACACACCAGCAGTAAAAGATGAGTATTCTCCTCCCTTAAAAATTTACAGCCTTGTAAACACCATGCTTCAAATCTATCAGCTGCTTCTCAGGAGAAAGATGGGCAGTCTCTTCTTGTGTGATTACAGCCTTTGAAAACTCTCTGAGGATCAGTATGAGTCGGTATGAGTATGACTCACCAGCAATGAGTTTTAATTTCAGAACCCATGGAAAGGAGCTCTGGTGCTGTGTTGCTCTACTAACTGAAAGGCCCCACATCTCAGGAGATTCCAATGCACCAGCAGCTCCACAAGAGAAAGATGGGCAGTCACCTCCTGTTAAGATTTGTAGCATTACAAACCCTTTAGAGGGTCACAATGTGTCAAAATTGACTTGAGGACAATTAGTTTCGGGGCATTATTAGAGACTCGCACAGGATAGATCAGGATTTAGGGCTGTTGTATGTAGGGTTGCTACATACAACATACAGGTCGATACATACAGGTGACTCAATGGTACTTCACAACAAACAACAACTGTAGAGAATGTAGGTGCTAGATATTGATGTTCCCATTTGCCAGTTCATTTAGCAGTGTAAGTGTGATTCTGTATGACTTGGGAAGTCATTGGTGGTTCAGTGGTGGAATTCTTGCCTTCCATGAAGGAAATCCAGATTCAATCCCCAGCTAGTGTCCCTCATCCACAGCTAGCACCCCTCTGTCAGCACAAGCTTGTGTGCTGCTATCATGCTGAACCAGGTGACACCGGTGATTTAAGAGGAGGAGACACTAGATGGAAAGCCCAGTGATCCATGGCGGAAAACTAGTTAATAAAAACCCCTCCGTTTGCAACCAGTCATAGGGATGGATGGCATGAGATTAGGCATCATTTTCATCCTAAATCAGTGCCTCTAACATTTACACCAATTGCAGCAGGGAGCATCTGAAAATAAAGACTTAACCTCTCCAAAATCTATCACCCTTTCCTCTCAACAAGCCCCTACCCTCTCTCTGTCCTCTTTCCTTCACAGCCCTGCTTTTCAGTGGCAGTAGGGGAGGCCTAGCTACAAGACAAAGGTCAGGAAAGTTATACAGGGAAAATGAAAAGAACAAAATGGTCTTCTGGTCCCCTAAGCATGCCCCTTACGCACTTGCGCAGAGGTTGGTTGACTCTCAGTCAAGGTGGTGTTCATGCACAAGTGAGGAATTCACACTGCTCAGGGCAGAAAATGTTGGGGAGTAGGATTTGGTTGTCCCTTGGAGCACCCTGCCCCCCCCACACACAAAAAAGACCAAGTGGCAACAGAAATTAAGAACTTCTGTCACTTGGGCCAATAAAGGGAGCTTTAAAAAACAAAATTATTATTTTATACTGGTTTTTCTTACAAACTTTGTATAAATTCTTTTTCACACCTGATTTTTCCCATTTCCTTTACCCACCCCTCCCTCTACCTATCAAATTGTGTGACACTATGATTCTTGCCACCCCTTCTCCCCCGCCCATCCTCACCTCTCTGCTCCTTCCTTCTCCCCCTTGGATCCTCATACCCATTATACTAGTGATGATAAAGGGAGCGTTTTGCACAGCTACCCTGCTGTCTTTGAATACTGCTTAGACCACATTTTCACGGTCTCAGTAGTACTCATATTTTTGACCAGATAGCTCTTTTGTGGGGGCTGCCTTTCTATCTTCCCAGGCTTGACAACTTAAAATGTCCCCAGACCTGGCCGCTCATCCCCCACTGGCCTGGATAGATGACACCACACCCTCACCAGAGACCCTTTCCCTGCAAGCAGTAACAGCAGTTGAGTCTATTTAAAACTCAAACAGGGGTTCTTTTTGTGGTATTTTTAGCTTTCTTATAAATGTCTTCTCTTTGCTGATGTAGTATTGACAGCTATAACACATTTTAATCTCGTTTCCTAGAATTCTTTCTTTTTCTGATCAGTATCTTAATATATTCAGGCTGAGAATAGATGTTACTGTGTACCATCGAGTTGGAACCACAGCTGACCCTCCAGCAGGTTTTCAGAGGCAGTAGTAAATTGCACAGAATGAGATTGCCCGTCTTTCTCCCGTGAAGCAGCTGGCAAATTCGAACCACATACCTTTGTGCATTAGCAGCACAAAAGCATGGAAGGAGAATGTCCATCTTTCTCCCACCAAGCACCTGGTGGTTTTGAACCCCATGCCTTCAGATTTCCAGCCCAGCTTCTTAGCAGTAGGCCAATGGAGCTAAGTGTAGACATAGATTTTATATAAAACCTTAGCAATCATTTGAGTAAGTGCTGTGGAAGGCTTCCTTGACTCATTTCTTAATGCCATTACATGGGCTTTACAGTCATCAGTACCTAGCCCTTGAGTTGGATGGAACTAATCACATCAAATTTAGCCAGTCTTTATAAATGAGATTGATTTTCATATAAAATCTTTAAATAAATTGAACAGTCTCTGAGTATAATTATTACAAGTGCGTGTACTTTTTATTTTTTTTTAAATAAAACATGTTTCTAAAAACAAAATCTGCTATTTTTAAAGTTATCACACAGAGGGAAATTGATACTTTCTGATTCTTAGCTTATCTCTGTTTAACAAGACTTATGATAAGCACCTAACAGGAACCATTTCCCATGTGTTACTCTTCTCTTGCTTTTACAGGCATTGAAACACCCATATTTCCAAGTTGGTCAAGTATTAGGTTCTTCACATCATCTGGACTCAAAACAGATTTTAAATAAGCAGCTGCAAACCATGGAACCGAAGCCAGCTTTAGCGGAAGTAGAACATAAGCCTCTTCCAGACATAACTGAGCAGACCGCTGGACAGCCCCAGCTCAAAGCCAGCCACCAGCCTCTGCAGTCCATCCAGCTGTCACAGAACGGGAATGCCCAGCCACCTCTCAAGCAAGACGGTCATCAGAAACCACCACAAACACTATTTCCAAGTATCCTCAAAAACATGTCAGCTGTAAGTTGTAAATAATCTCATTTTAGATGAAATGGTTTAACCAGTTCCTAGATAGTTCTGAGAACACTGGGAAGTTTTAAGATGATTTTACCCTAAAGCCCCTGCCTCTCTGATAGGAGCTTAAGATGACATATAGCTTTAAATTCCAATACTATTGAGGAAAAATAAAAATAATAAGCTTAAAGTTAGAATAAAACTGACTCAAAAGCAGCTAGCTTGGTCTTCTGGTTTTCTGTGTAAGCACATTTATGTAGCAGGCATCCTGAAGACAAAAGTGTTTGAATCTCAGTATAATGACTTCTACATAAAAGTCACTTGGTAGGGCAGTAAAAGTTATGATGAGGCATTTTCTCCACAGAAGTCCAATAACACAGTGGGACATAAGACTGCTCGGAGGCGTTGGGGTCAGACTGTGTTCAAGTCTGGAGATGGCTGGGAAGATTTTGAAGACTGCGATTTTGGAGCGTCCCATTCCAAGAAGCCAAGCATGGGTGTCTTCAAAGAAAAGAGGAAAAAAGACTCTCCACTTCGGTAAGATTTCAGATTCATCAGGAAAGCATGGTTTTGTCATGCATCAACTTTTAAAATACAGAACATAGCCTTTTTTCCCCAATCCCAAATCTCTTGTTTCTTTGAGAAGATAAGAGACTTGACTTTTCAGTAGAAACTGTAAGTTGAATGAGAGTTATATTTGCATTGATGGGGAGTTCTTGTTAAATTTCTGTGCTGTTAGAGATGATGATGATGATGATTCTTCTCATCCACAATTCTCATGCCTTATAATCTTACTTGTACCCATTTTTCCTGTATCATCTTTGACAAAAAATAAGTAAGTAAAATTCTCTACCACTTTGCAGAAAGCAGCGCCCAATCTAAAGAGTCCTCAGATGGTGTTCAGGTGTAATTAATTTGTTTGCCATCCTGAACTTTTCAACCAGTTCCTTTCTGACTCAGAGGATGTGTCATCATCAACTTTGAATTAACAAAGTATTAAATTTTTATGAACATTTTGGAAAGATAACTTTAACTTTTTCTTCTCTTTGGCATGGAAGAGGGACTTGGTAGAAAAATTGTGATGTGAGTCAAGAGAACGTATGTAATAGCAGTCTGTTATTATTTAGAGTAAATGAGTTTACGTGGGGGGCATGCATGCCCTTGATTGTAGAGGAAGATTCCATAAGAGTTACATATTCCTGGGTCGTGAGTTTCCAGGTCATGCTGTAGGACAAACTTGTGTTGATTCTGCAGGCTTCCAGAATCGATACCATCTGGCTCCAACCACTCAACAGAGGAAAACAAACCTGCTGCTGCTCCCCTAAAATCTGATTCTGAGTTGTCAAATGCTTCAACAGCTAAACAGTACTATTTGAAACAATCAAGATACCTTCCAGGTAAGTAGAGAAAATAAAATATTTGCTATTAAATACTGAAGAAGAAGTGTAATCACAGTGTCCTTTGAAGGCTTCAGCTTGTCTCGATATACTTTCCTTTTGTACAAAAAATAAAAAATATTACATTACTCCCTAGGGAAGAGAGGTTTAGTGAATGACTGCAAGAGTGGGTTTAAGCACAGTGGAGTTTGTAAGGGTGTCCAAGGATAGGGCAGGGTTTTGCCCTCTTGTATATAAGGTGGCAGAATCTGAGCCAATTCTAGGGCACCTAATAGTAATCACAAATTTTATTAAATGGACCCCAGTGCTGTGGTGTGTAACATTGGGCTATTAACCAGAAAACTGATTCATGGGAGAAAGACAGTCTTCTTCCATAAAGATTTATTGCCTTGAAAACCTGGCAGAGACTTGTTATGGGTCTAACTTAATAGCATGTTTGCTTTTTGTTGTTTTAAATTTTATTAGAACAAGTCTGTACATCTTTTACAACTTTTTATATAATGTACAAAGTTTTTTCCAGTTTCCTAAAATGATCTGAAAAGATAATTGTGGCTGCTGAGTAAAAAGTGTTAGGAACTCAGAGGGGCCAGGAGATAGTAAAGAGGTCCCTCCTGAAGTTCAGATGGCAGAGTGATGGTTTGTTCTAGAATAGGGAAAAATTGAGATTAAAATGCTAAAATCTAGGTATATTTTGGTTGTGGCTAGATAGGTATGCTTAGTGGTGAAAGGTTAAGAATTAGGGTTGACTTTTGGATTAGTGTGTGTGTGTGTGTGTGTGTGTGTACCATGAAATCAGATCTGACTGGTACAGATCTCCAGCAGAGCATCTGGTGGCTTTGAACCGCCTACCTCTGGGATTGCCATGCAGTTTCTTTCCACTACGCCACCAGAGCTCCCTGACTTTTGGATTCTAAAGGCATTCTGTGGTGTAGTGCATATTGAGTTGTTCTGCTAGCCCAGAGGCTACCTTTGTGCAACAGTTTGAATCCACCAGTGGCTACAGTTCAAATCCACCAGTGGCTCTGCAGGACAAGGATAGGAAGTCTCCTCCCATTGTGACTTACAGCCCCAGAAACCCAATGGAGGGTTGCTCACTATGAATTGGAACCAATTTAACAGCAGAGAGTTTGCCTTTTCTGGTTGGTGATGATGTTTTTGTTAGGTGCCATCAAGTCAAGCACAATTCGAAGCAACCCTATAACAAAAGATCTTAATCCAGTTTGATCTTGAGCCATCCTCACACTTCCTGACACACAAGAGCCCATTGCAGCAGTCATCCTGTCAATCCACCTGGTCGAGGGTCTTCCTTTCCTTCACCGGCTGTCCACCTTTCCCAGCATCATGTCCTTCTCCAAGTAACAGACCTTCCTAGCAACATGTCCTAAGTATGTGAGGCAAAGCCTCATCATCCTTGCCTCCAAAGGGAACTCCGATGCACCCTTTCCAAGACATATCTGTTCATTCTCTTGGCCATCCATGGAATGTTCAGTGGTCTTCTCCAGTATCATAGTTCAAAGGTGTCAATTCTTTTCCTGTCATCCTTATTCATTGTCCTGGTGCCACATTCCTCCTCATAGAGTTCAGCTAGGTAAGTGGTACTTCTAACTGCGAACAAGAAGATTAGGAGAGGATAGAACTGCGAACGTGGAGAATCAGGAGTTGAGTGTGGGCTGCCTATTGAGCATCCAGATTGAACTATCTAGTAGACAATTGGATATATGAATTTGAGACTGGGGGAAAGATCTTGGCATGTAGGGGGTAGTTTATGGTATATATTCAAGAAACCAAAATGTCAGCAGTTTGAAACTGCCATAAGGGCATCAGACACCTCCTGAGAAGATTTACAGCCTAGTCAGCCTGATGGAGAGCCGCCACAATGTGGAATCAACTTGACAGTGGATTCGGGTTTGGCTTGTACCAATTGGTAAGGAGGAAGCTGAAATATGTCTTAAGAGAAATAAAAGAGGTGAATATGAAGATATTAAGGGCAGAGCCAAAACTATATAACCCTGAGAATGTTGGAGAGATTGTTGAAAAGCTATTGCAAAGATCTAAGTGAGTTAACAGAATCCTGGTGGGGTAGTGTGTAACTCATCAGGCTGCTAAGTCACTGGTTTGAATCTACTGCACCTCAGGAGAAAAATGGCTGGTCTCCTCCCACAAAGATATATAGTCTTGAAAACCAATGGAGGGTCACTTTGAATTAGAATTGACTTGGGGGCAGTGAGTGAGTGGGTAAGTTGGACTAAAGAATGTCTGTTTTGTTTTAAGAAATTGTTGAGTGTCTTGGGCAAGGATAAGAATTTGCCCAACTATTTTTTTTTACAGTCAGGCTGTAAAATTATTCATACTTGGGTAAACAGGTGAAATGTGGAAGTAGACCTGGGAAAACCTGTGTTATATGAGTAGATAAACTTTGTAGACAAATAGAGGAAGTGGGGGATGAACTGCTTTTATTAGTTGTTGTTGTTGTTGTTATGTGCCGTCGAGTCGTTTGCTACTCATAGTGACCCTATGTACAACAGCCCTAAACTATGCTCTATCCTGTGCCAGTCTCATTGCCTCTGACACACCCATCCTGATTACCCCAGTCACTAAATCAATCCACCTCATAGAGGGTCTTCCCCGCCTGCTCTGTCCCTCTACTCTACCCAGCATGATGTCCCTCTCTAAAGACCTGTCTCTCCTTACAACATGTCCAAAGTATGTCAGACGAAGCCCCAGAATCCTTGCCTCCAAGGAGCAGCCTGGTTTAGTAACATATGTCAAATGAATTTATAAGAATATCCTTAAAATAGCTAGGAAGAGAGAGCCTGACTTGTGAGCAAAGGATAGGAATTCGCAAGTTCACTGCATAGCAAAATTTCCCTTATTATTAGGCATGTTCTAGTCTATTTTGTATTTTTGGTGGATGCCACTGAGTCACCTTCGACTAATAATGACCCTATGTACAATAGCGCTGAACTCTGCACCATCCTGAGCCAGTGTCACTGTCTCTGACACATCTACCACATTATCCTTTGCTGTGTCATTCCATCAGGTCTTTTCTCCACCCTTCCAAGCATTATACTCTTCTTCAAGGACTGGTCCCTCCTGACCACATGCCCAAAGTATGTGAGACAGAGCTTCAAAATCTTTGTATCCAAGGAGCATTCTGGTTTCACCCTCTCCAGCATAAACCTGTTTGTTCTCATATACTCTGCTCAAAGGCATCAGTTCTTCTTCTGTCTCCTTTGGTTATTGTCCAGCTCTCTGATGCGTAGCACGTAATTGCTAAGTCCATGGCCTGAATAAGGTGCATCTTAGTAATATTTTGAGTTTTCAGAAATCTAGTTTTAATTTAAAAATCCCTATTTTTGCTTCATATAGTCAAAATTCCATCATAGTAAACTAATCTACAGGGAAGGATTATCCTCTTTGTGATACTAAGCTTTGGTGCTTGAAAATGAGAAAAAAAATAAGATTATTGTAATTTTTTGTACATAGCATTTTCTTACAATTGCACTAGGAAGTAGAAAGTTAAGGATAATGTTCCCACCTATTTTTTTACAGTCAGGCTGTAAAATTATTTGTACTCTTTTAAAAGCTTTAGGTTCTTCTGGGAGTCTGAGAAATCAAAGTGATCTGATGGGTTACAGGCAATAGAAGCTTCTAGAACCTCTTCTGGTCTCAAGTTTGCCTTACTCTTAATTTCCAATCAGCATTTTCTGAGGGAGTGACATCCAAGGAATAGGCCAAAGTACCACCTCCCCAAAGTCCCTGAGGTTGGATACACATTTACCAGTTAAGTAAATACTGCACTTACTTTAAAAAGACAGCCTTTTACTGTTGAGTTTATTACAGCTTACTTATCCTATCCCTCATCTATCCTAAACTCTTGCTGCAGAAGATCAAGGACTACAGCCTTCAAAATAGATTGCATCTCAACATCAAGAAAACAAAATCCTTTCATCACTAGGTCAATAGGCAACATGTGATGGATGGAGAAAAAAAAAAATTAAATTGTCTATGATTTCATCTTATTTGGATCCACAATTAACATCTGTGGTAGTAACAGTCAAGAGATCAAAAGACAAATCACACTGGGGAAAATCTGCTGTCAGGGACCTCTCCAGAACACTAAAGAGAAATTACATCGATTTAATCACTAAAGTGTGCTTGATCCAAGCCATGGTCTTCTCAGTTGCTTGCTATGCATCTGGAAGTTGGACAACTAAGGATGACAGAGAATTTATGCTTTGAGTTGTGGTGCTGGAGAAGAGTACTGGATATCCTGTGGCCTGCCAAAAGAACAATCAGGAAAAGTGAGACAAAGATAGTAAAACTCCATTGCACATTCTTTTGGCATGTTGTTAGGAGGGACTGATCCTTAGAGAAGGACATCATGCTTGGAAAGGTGGAGAGGGATCAGCATAATAGAGTAGACTCTCCGTGAAATGTGTGACACAGAGTCGATAGCAAAGGATGTCAGGGATGGTGAGGATGGCACAGGATAGGACAGGGTTCAGATCCATTGTTTACAGAGTTGCTTTCAGCTTAATGACACCTAACAAAAAACAACTTTGTTTCTGTATGGCAAAGTAGAACTGATTTTATAGAGTTTCCAAATACTCATATTTCCTGGGGGGAAAATATCCATGTCTTTTTCTCACAGAGTTGCTGGTTGGTTCAAAACACCAACTTTTGGATTAACAGCCAGACACTTTACCATTATTCCTCATGGGCTTGTTTTCTTAGAAAAGATTATATAGTAGTACTTCTTGAGTGATTCCAGCTTGTGCCAAGAAATCTGGAGGACAATTGGAAGAGATACGTATTTATTCCTATTCCAGAATATGGACATTATGGAGCAATATCACTAATACTACAGCCAAGCGAAATCCTTCTGAAAATATACAAAAGTGGCTGGAATAGTACATTAGCAGAGAGCTGACAGAGATAGAGATTGGATTTAGAAAAAGTATTAGGGACATCATAGTCCATGTTAGATGGATCTTGGC